GAGAGAGAGAGAGAGAGAAAGAAAGAAAGAAAGAAAGAAAGAAAGAAAGAAAGAAAGAAAGAAAGAAGAAAGAGAAAGAAAATGTGGATTTTTTTAAAAAATAGTATTTACTCTCACACTTTAACACACAAAGATCTCAGTATGAGATCACTACAAGACAAGACAGAACAAGAGCCAACATGTATTGAGCACTGACTGGGAAGCAGTATACAGAGCTCCCTTTGAGCACCTCGCTTCGTCTTCACAACAGTTCTGTGAGGCAGGGGTGGTTATGCCCATTTTACAGATGTGAAAGCTGAGGCTTAAATGACTTGCCTTTCTCAAGCTCAGCACATGGATTCAGTGGCAGAAGCAAGGGTCCCAACCGAAGGGATCTGACCCCATAGTCCATGCTCTTGGCCAGCCTACGAGACTGCCTCATTATCCCTTTCCCTGTTACCCACTGTTGCGAGGATTCAAAGGATGGTGGGGCAGGAGTGAAGTCTTCTTGGAGGAGGTGACCTTGTAGAATGAATGGGAAGGCAAGGCAGGACAGAAGCCTTCTTGGAGAAGGCAATCTTATAGAATGAATGGGAAAGGGACAGAGACAAAAATCAGGCCAGGGCGGGGTCGCCTGGGGGGTGGTCTGACAATAGACTCTTATACCAATGTGGATCATTTCTATGCACTGATCCACAACCCACCCAGTGGGGCAAAAGAGCAGTATCTTGAGATGGGGCACAATATACATAAGCTCCTACATACAGGGCCTGAAGTCAGAGCTTAACTCTGCTTTTTACCAGCTGTGTGTCCCTGAGTAAGTTACTCACCCTCTCTGTGCCTCAGTTTTCCCAGCTATGAAAAGGGGCTAATAACAGTACCTACCTTAGACTGACGTGAAGATTAAATAAGGTGCTGCACATGATGCGCTCAGCACAGCGCCTGCACATCATCAGCTCTCAACAAAGCTCAGCTATTTCTGTGGTTACTGTCGATATCTTTCTCATTCCACCATACTTCTCAGCAGTCCTGAATATTGGACTGCGGGGTTAATTTCTCCTTAAAATAAAACACCCTGGGAATTTGGACTCAGAGAATTTCAACATCTCAGAATCATTAAACATTAGATTCCTAGAATTATAGAAACTTCAAAACTTAGAATAAAATACAGTGTGAGCCAATAGAATTTGCAGTGTAAATTTCCCCCTCAATGCTGCCCTCCTCCTCTCTCTTTGGAGGATTAAAACTATTATTTTGTCAGATGATTCCTTGACTTCTACCCTCAGAAATATAGGTATTATATTTTTTTTCTCTCAAGAAAATGCATTTATGTTCCTTTTTCCCCCTCCCCTCTTTTCCTCGCTCCTGTACGGAGGATATGATGTGATGGGTAAAATATCAAGTGCACTAAGTCAAAATTTCTGACAGAAATAATAGAGCCCGCATCCATTTCCAGCCGTTCTCCAAGTGATAACAATTAAACCCCGGACAGTTTGAACTTTTTACAAAGAATTAATGATGCATGTGAACACAGGGGGGAGAACAATTGCTAATAATTTATGACGTCTTCGCTGGCTCAAAGTAGTAAGTTTGGTAAAGTGAGGGAGAAAGCTTTGAAACGTAAACACTTTGAAAAGCCATTCTGAGGATCTGCCCTGTCAATTGAGAATTTACTACATTCCATTAAACAACCTAAAATAACTTCTATGGTAATCACCCTTCAGATACAGGCGCCAGTGCCGACAAAGGTATTATTAAGTTAAATTACCCTAAAAGTGTTGGATTGACAGAGAGTTTCAGTCAATGGTTTGGAAAGCCGGGGTCCCTAAATGACACCAGCAAACAGATACTGATGTTCTGGGGTTGGAGAACTTGGCTTTACAAGACCTGGCGCTAACAGGATTTCAATTTGAGCTTTTAAATATTTCATGCTCCCCCTGCAGCTCTCAGGAGGAGGACTGTGGGATTCTCACACGTGGAGGCCAGGGCCCCTCCCTGCCTCACCTTTCTGGGCCAGGATTTGAAAGGTAGCTCTGGGTGGAAAAAAGCAAAGAGGCATGTGGCAAGGACGGCTTGTCTCTTTGAGGGGAGAGGGGAGCGGAGAAGGGGGAATTTGCCAGCTGGGTTTGATTAGAGGAAGGAATTAGGATTCTCAGTTTATAGATAAGGGAAATGAGGTCTCTTACCTGAGGCCACCCACCAGGTCCACGGCATGGCCTGGAATGTAGATCGCTCCATGATGCCACGTCCTCGCTCTCTCTTGATTCTGATGGCTTCCTGGAGTCAAGTCCAGTTTATATGTAGCAGGACCCCATAAATATTTTTAAATACATTCAGTTAATATATAACATACATGAAAAAACATGCACAAGTCATACGTGTATAGCTCAACGAATTCTCCCAAACCAAACACACTCCTGTGTAACCGGCAATGAGCTGAAGACACTCAACATTTCCAGCCCCTACCTCGGCCCCTAGCCCCCAAAATGTTCTCACATCCCCAAGTCAACTCCCCAAGGGTAACTACCAACCTCCCTTCCAACATGTAGATAAGTTTGTCCAGCTTTTGAACTCTGTGTAGACTCACACAGTATGTATGCTTTTACACCTGGCTATCTGGCTTCTTTTACTCAAAATTATATTTGTGCATTTCATCCAGATTTTTGTATGTATTTGTAGTTTGCTCACTTTTTTTTTTTTTTTTGAGACCAAGTATCGCTCTTGTCACCCAGGCTGAAGTGCGGTGGTTCAATCTCAGCTCACTGCAACCTCTGCCTCATGGGTTCAAGCGATTCCCCTGCCTCAGCCTCCTGAGCGCTGGGATTATAGGTGCCCGCCACCACGCCTGGCTAATTTTTGTATTTTTAGTAGAGACGGGCTTTCATGTTGGCCAGGCTGGTCTCAAACTCCTGACCTCAGGTGATCTGCCCACCTCAGCCTCCCAAAGTGGTGGGGTTACAGGAGTGAGCCACCATGCCTAGCCAGTTTGTTCACTTTCATTGATGCTTAGCTTTCTACTATCTGAAGTTACCCCAATTTATTTAGCCATGCTCCCACTGGTGGGCACAGGGGTTGTTTCTGGTTGGAACTATTGCAAAGAATGCTACTATACACTTTCTTTTACAAGTCTCTTGGTGCATATACATATGTATTTCTGTTGGCTTTATACCAAGAAAGTGAAATTGTTGGGTCATAGGACGTGCTGGCAAGCAGATTTCCCAAACAATTTCATCTATTAAATCTGCCACCATCATTGTACAATGGTCCTGTGACCCACATTCTCACCAACACTTAGTATTTCCTAACTTTTAAAAAGTTTAGTGGTCTAGGCTCAGTGGCTCACACCTGTAATCCCAGCACTTTGGAAGGCCAAGCTGGGCGGATCATCTGAGGTTGGAAGTTCAGACCAACCTGACCAACATGGAGAAACCCCATCTCTACTAAAAATACAAAATTAGCTGGGCGTGGTGGTGCATGCCTTAATCCCAGCTACTTGGGAAGCTGAGGCAGGAGAATCACTTGAATCCAGGAGGTGGAGATTGCGGTGAACCAAGATCACGCCATTGCACTCCAGCCTGGGCAAAAACAACAAAATTTCCTCTTGAAAAAAAAAAAAAGTTTTTAGCCATTATGGTGTGTGTCCAATGGTGTCATTGTGATTTTCATCTGCATTTTTCTGTCAACTCCTGAAACAGAACACATACATTTATTAGTCACTTAGATATTCATTTTGGTGAACTGCCTATTCAAGTCTGTTTCCCATTTTTCTACAGGGTTGTCCGCCTTTTCATGCTGATGTGGGATTCCTTTACCCAGTTTACACATGCGTCATTTCTCAAGTATGTATTTCAACTACCTTCTCCCACTTTGTTTTATACCTTTTCACTGTCTTCATGGTATCTTCAATAAACAGATGTTCTCAATTTTAAACTTTAATTTGATGTGATTAAGGATGAATGGGAAAGTAAGACCTGCTGGACTAGATGAACAATGTCAATCAATAGAATTTAATGTAATTTATGTTTATCTATTTTTAGCTTCAATAAATATTTTAGGAGTGAAGGAATGCCACTGGGAATGGAAAAGAAAACAGAGAGCCTGTCCTATTCTTGTTACACAGGCCTAAAATGAAGAAATTCAATAGTGAATTATAAAAGTACTTCTTATGAAAGGGTTGATATTCTGCACAGAGCCAACTGCTGCCCCCATGCAAGTATTCATTCAGTCAACACATATTTTTAAGGGCCAACAGTGTACCAGACTGACCCCTCGGAACTGGAGATAGTATAATAGTGAACAAGAAAACCAAGACCCGGCCAGGCGCAGTGGCTCACGCCTGGAATCCCAGCACTTTGAGAGACCGAGGTGGGTGGATCATGAAGCCAGGAGTTTGAGACCAGCCTGCCCAACATGGTGAAACCCCATCTCTACTAAAAATACAAAAAATTAGCTGGGCATGGTGGCAGGCTGCTGTAATCCCAGCTACTCTGGAGGCTGAGCAGAGGATCGCTTGAACCCGGGAGATGGAGGTTACAGTAAGCCAAGATTGCACCACTGCACTCCAGCCTGGGCAACAGAGCAAGACTTCACCTCAAAACAAAACAAAACCAAACAAAAAAAGCCTGAAAGAAAAGAAAACCAAGACCCTGCTCCCAAGGAGCTTATGTGTAGTAGGAGAGAAAGACCATACATATGTGAACAAGTAGAAAAGAATTACAGAAAGGTATTGATAAGTGTCTTACTTATTTATTTATGTATTTGGGGTCTCACTGTTGTCCAGGCTGAAATGCAGTGGAGCAATCTCAGCTCACTGCAGCCTCAACTTCCCAAGCTCAAGGGATTCTTTCACATCAGCCTCCTGAGTATCTGGGACCACAGGTATGTACCACTATGCCTGGCTAATTTTTGCTTTTTGTAGAAGCAGAGTTTCACCATGTTCTCCAGGATGGTCTCAAACTCCCGGGTTAAAACAATGCACCCACCTCAGCCTCCGAAAGCGCTGAGATTGCAGACATGAGCCACCACACCTGGACTAATTTATTTATGTTTTAGAGACAGGGTCTCGCTCTGTCACCCAGACTGGAGCAAAGTGATGGGATCGTAGCCCACTGCAGCCTTGAACTCCTGGGCTCCAGCCATCCTCCTTCCTCAGCCTCCTGAGTAGCTGAAACTACAGACACACATCATCAGGCCCAGCTTGATAAGCGCTAAAAGGAAAATTAAAAGGGTCGTCCGGATGGAGTGACTGGAGAGTGGTCAGAGAGCCCTGTCTGGGGTGATAGTTGAGCTGGGAATGATAAGAAAAAACTGGACTTGCAAAGTCCTAGGGGAAGAGGGCTCAGACAGAGGAAATGCAAAAGCTCCGAATGTTTGCAAATCAGAAAGGAAGGGGGAGTGGTTTGTGCACTCTGGGTGAGGGGAGGTGGAATGGGAGAAATGGTTGGATTGGGAACAACCATGTCATAAGCTACAACTGTAGGGGGAGAAAACATCCGACTTTTATTTTACATAATAGCTTTTGCTACTGTGTGGAGGGTAGATTATAGTATGCTAGGGGACCTACTCAGAAGTTGTTACAATCATTTGGGAGAAGCATGGAGGTGGCTCAGGATATGGTTTAAAAGGAGGTTACAAGCAAAGGCCAGAATGATTCTAAGGGCTGGAAAAAAACTGTGAAAGATCCAGACAGCCATCTCCCTGTGGTTATGCAAATCACATTCAAACCTCCTGGAGACAGACAAAGCCAAGATGATGATGTTTCTTACTGTTGTAAAAACCTTTCCTTCTTCTGCATTTGCTGAGGAATGATTTACTTCCTATTATGTGGTCAAAACAGAGATATAGACCAGTGGAACAGAACAGCGGCCTCAGACGCAACGCCACACATCTACAACCATCTGACAAAAACAAGCAATGGAGAAAGGATTCCCTGTTTAATAAATGGTGTTGGGAAAACTGGCTAGACATATGCAGAAAGCTGAAACTGGACCACTTCCTTACACCTTATGCTAAAATTAACTCCAGATGGATTTTCTTTTAAAGATTTAAATATAAGACCTAACACCATAAAACCCCTAGAAGAAAACCTAAGCAATTAAAAGGGTCCTCAGGATGGGGAGAGAGAGAGAGAGAGAGAGAGAGAGCAGAGTGAGACCCTTCCTCTTCTGCGTGCATTTCACATGGTGAGCTTGCATTCTTCTTTGTCCCTTGGGCAGCAGTTTCTGAGACAACAATGAGCTTTCCAATCCATAGGAACTTCACCATACATCAAGGGACTATGAATGAAGCCACGATACGCCAGGCATTCACTATGTACCAGACTTCGTGTTAGTCATCTTCACCTGTGCCATCTTGGTTCAGCCTCACAAATATCCTGGAATGCAGGTGTCCTTATCATCCCACATCACAAAGAAGGAAACTGAGGTTTCAAGGAGTGAGGTGACTCTTCACCTGGTCATCTTTTGGTCCTGAGAGCAAACGTTACTTCTGCAGGAAAGTCCTTCCTGGCCAACCCCGGACCAAGCTCGGGCCCTGCTACCGACTCCCGTAGAGGCTGTGCCTCCCTGACATAACATGTAACCCCTGAGGCAAACATGCCTTTATTTGTGCCAGCATTTGATGATGTCTGTCTTCTCCCACTAGACTCTCAACTCCATGGGGTTAGGGTCTGCATGGTTCATCTTGGTATTTCCAGAGCATGAGATATGGCAGGTACCTGAAAAAAAAATTAATTGTGGAAGAAAAGTTAGTCGTAAGAAAGACGAGGAGGAAGACCACACAGAAAGAATAAGGATGGCAGACGCAGGCTTCGTGGCACCTCTTCCAGTTATGTAATTTTAGAACTGCACAGGGTAAAGTGACATCAGCTTCTGACATCCTCCCTCCAGGGGAAGTGAGGTCTTTGTGGGCTTCCCTATCCGCCAGGGGACATTCTCAGCCACATAGGTTCCTCCGATCCTGCGCTACAGGGGCCTGCTCTCTGCCACCTGTGTGCCTGCCTCTTCATCCTTAACCCCACTTCCCTGCTGGAAGCCAGAGAAGCAATTAATCCTACAGGGCCCCCCAGTGCTGTTAGGATCCAGAGACTCCCGGAAGCCTGGCAGCTGTGTGCGTTCACATCTGGGAGCCAACAAGCCCCCCCCCCCACAAAGACTGCTTTGAGTGCAGGCTGACCTGTCAGGATGCTCAGGAGGGGGCAAGGAGTAGAGAGTTAACTCTGTGAGAAAGCTCTTGTTCTTCCTCCTCCCATGATTGTCTGGTGAGGTTGGGAGCCCGCATGCCTCCCTCCAAGAGAAAATCAGTTAACGAAAGGTACAATGAAGCAGACAGTGACCAACCTGGAATTCCAAAGACCAGGGAATAAGGTTTACCCTGACCTCTAATGTGCTGCGTGACCTTGGGCTACTCACTTGACCTTTCTGAATCTGGGCAATAACAGTAAATCCAAGAAATAAGAGTCCTTCTCAAAACTGTTGGACACATTAAATGAGATATCTCATATAAAGGGCTTAGCACAGTTGCTAGTACATAGTAACGCTCAATAAACTGTAGCTATTACTTTATAAACATTGTTATGTATGGCTCTTAGAGCTGTCATTAGGATTAAGTGGGATAATGTAGGTAAAGCTTCTAGATAGGGTCTAGCACAGAATAGCTGCTCAATAACATTTCCCATTCCAAATTTGGAGTGCCAATAATTAGAGAGGACCAATGTCTACCCACCATATGGTAGGTAGCCTTCAAAGCATTCCCAATGTTTGGTTGGATGGATAGACGGATGTGTGCATGGATAGATTGATAGGTGGATAAGGAAATCTTAGGTAAAAGGATGTACATCATAGTGACATCATGAATACACGGTTCCCAGTCTTGGTAAGGTAGCAGATATGGACTTCTGGTTGCAAAATGTTGGGTACCATGGCTGCTAAGGGAGATAGCTTGAGACCAGATGTACCGTATCTCATCACATCATCAACTTCAGTGATGCTTACAGCAGATCCTGCTGCCCTTCCCAGAATGCTTTGGACTATCCTCCTTTGGAAATCCCCATTGGTCCATGTTGGTCCTGATGCAGCTATTATCTGAAATTAAACATCCTCCCTCCAGGCAGAATCCTAGAACACTGGGGCTTAAAAAAGGATTGCAGAGATTCTGGAATCCAACTGATTCATTTAACAACAGTAGCTGCTACAACTATTTACAGAGTTATTCCAACTTCTAGGCACTGTGTTAATTATTTTATATGTGTAATTGCATTCAATCTCACAGCATTCCAAGGAGCAAAGCATATTCTATATATAATACACACCCATATATTCCATATATAATTCTCAATTAAACGTACTACGTACTTTTAAATTATTTTTCAGAATGACACAACGCTCTCATGAATGCCAGAATGTAAGCAGCTTTTTATTCTAGACTTCCTGATTATCTTACACTCTTTCTTCCCCCAGTACTCTACTTTGCTAGTACCCTAAACATGTGCTTAGCCCTTCTTTAAGGTAATTTAGCACTGCCTAAAGACAGAGAATATCACCATCAGCTAACAGATGAGGGTACGTGAGTACGGATTGGTAAGGTGGAAAGGTTCAGGAAAGCCGTGCAGTTAGCAAGCGGTAGAACCAAGACTCCAAGTCCATCTGATTCCAAAACTCCCTCCTCCTCGTCAATGAAACTTCCATCCTAGATGGGGAAATCAGGAAGCAGCAAAGGGGGGCTTTGAGGTTCAGAGCCCAGGTTGGAATGGCTGCTCTTTCTTTTTTCCACCAGCCAAATTTCAGAGCGTTCTTTTCAAAAATTCACTTGGACTCCTCTCTCCCTGGTGTGACACCTCTCTCTCCAGCCACAGAGGAGCCCTGGGTTCACTTTGTGGCCATCAGCGATATAAAATGGGTGAAACTATTTTAGTTAGATTTTCTCCTCTTGATGGGTGAGAATTTTCCAGGCCTGGGCACCTTGGAAATCTCCCAACGTCAGCCACCATCAGTTGTAACTGGCACCCCTGCTAATAAATTGAGAATGTCACATCTCCCAAACTGCATTATTACCGTTTATAATTTTGATTGTTCATTTGCATACGAAAATTAGTCCTGTGACATGCGTGGATTTTATTTTATTCTTGAACTAATTATAAACAAGAATGCCACATTATTTACATAACTAATTATTGTTCCTTATGTTCCCCTGTTTTTAAATGGGGAACCCATTCTTCGTTGGTTAACTATGGAGATGAAAAATCCAAGAACATTTCTAAAGTTTAGGAACTTGTTCTATTTGCATCAAATACAAATTCCTTTGAATGAGAGATAATATGCTTTCCATTTTAATAGGCCTAAATTAGGTTGATCTTAATTTATAGTTAATTTGAATGAATAATTCCTGTCTACCTGAGTCTGTTTTTTCAGCAACTCATTGTAAATGTTTATTGACCCATAAATCTGCTGCCTTCCTTTAGCAGATTTTAAGCCACCCCTCAAACTGGAGGGAGTTTGCAGAGGGAAAAAAAAAAGGCACAAAAGCAGTTAAGAAATTCTGGAATAAGTCCCTAACTCTGTAAGTCATATGCTGTTTGCCTTTGGGTAAATACCTCACCCTCTCTGAGCCTCAGGTTTCTCAGTTGCTAAACGACTGGGTTGAATTAAATGGTACCCAAGATTCCCTAATATTCTGGGGGAGAGGGAGAGGTCTATGTGTCTTCTTTATCTTGCCTTGCACTGTATCTCCTTCCAAATTTCTCTTCCTTCTCAAAATTCGACTCTTCCTTTGCTTAAGATCTTAAATGTGTCTCCACTCATGGGAAACTGCTTTATTTCCTTGGCCACTACAAAAGAGGCAAAAATAGACCCTGCTAAAGAGAGAACCAAAAGGGCTACCAAGCTAATGGTGGTACTCCAGGCAGTGCTTAACCCCTGGGAGGACGTGAGTTCGGCAGACAGTGTCCATCAGGCACACCACGAAGGCATAAACCACATGCTGCGTCTACAGGGAAAAGAACTTGGAAGTCCCAAAGACCTGGATTTTAACCCCAGTGTTGTCAATTCCTCTAAAAAATACTTTAACCTGTCCGTGACAGTGTGTCAGCTAAGAATAGCAATCCTACCTACTTCCTGGGAGACCGCTGTGATGGTTAAGGGAGATAAGAATGTGAAAACTGCCTGTGATATAGCTGGTGCTTGAATGCTAAATCCTGCCCTTTCCTGCTCATACGTTGGCCTCTGGCAGTCAGGAAGAAAGGGACAATGATGGTAACTAACGTTTATTGAGTGCCTACTAGGTGCCACTACTTCAGATGTCAGCCTAAGAGTGACGCTTCAGGAAAGAATTATCTAACTTCCCTTGTGAGGTTAAATTCATCATCGGAAACTGTCAGAGAAGGACAGGCACCCCCTCTCCACTGCAGCAATTACAGCTCAATTCCACTTTTCTTTGTATGATGTCTATCTATACCATCACCCCCGCCATCCTGCTTCCAGTAGAAGTAAGAATCATGTCTATTTTTGTCTCCATTATATTCCTCAAGTCCTGGCCAGCCCTCAATATTTGAGGACATAGAGGCTAAGCACGTGTTCTGGATTGCCTTACTTCATTTTCACAAAATGGGGTCTGCTGCTGTAATGCCCATTTTACAGATGAGGAAACTGAGTCTCAGATAGTCCAGCTGAGACCAGAAGGACCACCCAGCCTAGCCCAGCTTACCTGAGCCATAAACATTTACTGCCGTACACTGCTGAAGTGTGTGGTGGTTTCACAGCATTATCGTGTCAATAATGGACACGTGTTTGTATATGATTCCGCACTTCACCAAGCAACTTCTCATTCATTGATTCTTCTGAGCCTCTTATTGATTAAGGCAGAGGCAGGAACTGCATTCTTATCATCCTGGCCTGGGAAGGGCTTTGCATTTGTACAATTATTCTTCTGCTAAATTGATATATTAATCTGTTCAAACAATTGTTTCTGTAATTAAATGAGAGGGCACTGAAGAGAACCTACAAAAAGGTCTTATTTAGCTCTGTAAGCTGGAATCTGGTGACCTCTCACCCAGGCTGTGCAGTGATCAGACAGTGGGAATATGGCCATTAATTGGGTGTTTTAGGTACAGACACAGTTGTCCAAGTAATCATAGAGCTAACCGGCCCCAACGCTGCCAATGAACTGTGGTCTGCGGCTTTGTTAATGACACATCCTTTATTTTTCTCAGTCTCATTATCTGTTTATTATTCAAAGAGGTTTGGAGTTAGAAGGACCTTAATTGGAATGAGCAGCAAATCTCACTAGTGCAGACAACCTTTCTAGGGCATCCCTGAGAGATGAGTGCCCTCCAAGCTTCTCAAGAATGTCCATCAATATGGAGCTCGCCAACTTAAAAGGAAATGCTACCAAAAAGCAAAGCCTTGTGAAATACCCACGTGAGGAACTAAGCTCATTGGATTTTAGGTGTTGATTGACCATTGCCCATTTTTCCCAGCATAGGTCAGCTAAGGGCATGTGGGCGGGGCTTACATATCTCTGTCCATGGTCCTCCAAAACAAAGGAGGATAAGGAAGAGAAGAAGGTAGAGGAAGAGGGGAGAGAGAGAGAGAGAGAGAGAGAAGGACTGACTATTGGAGACACACTATTGTTCTGACATGGTTTTCAAGTAATTGCAGTTACCAAGAAAGAAAATTGTTTTCCTTTGGAAAGTCAAGAGAGCATTTACTTCCTCTTCACCTC